GACGCTCAACCCGGTAGTTCAGTCTGGGGGGGGGGAGGGCAGTTGTAACATGATAAAAATCATGAACTGTTCCTCGCCTGAACTGACCGCGGTTAATTCGGGGGAAAATTAGTAATTCAACCCCAGCGAGGAGTCGGACCACCCAAGGCCAGATATTCTTTTATTTCTGTCGTTTATGTACTCTCTTTTCTTTTCTCTACTATCAATTCTGACGTATTACGCTCACCGCGGGTTATGCGTCACTTTGAGACGAGGGGAGTGAAGTGGAGTATCGGAGAAGGAGCTACGAAGTCGGCGCTACGGCAGATGACGAGTGGGCACACTGACGAGCCCGCACACACCGAGTCTGTGGAGACTCACACCAGCAAGCACGCGGGAGACGATAGTCCTACGCCAGCAGGCAACTCAAGCCTCTACGTGTGGACCCCCACCACCTCACCGATGGTTCTGTGGCGCAAGGCCACCACATAAAAAACTCATGCTTCAACATCGAGGGAGCGACGGATTATGTTGGCTCTTCCGCTGTTGAATGCGGAGCAGTTCACCGATTGCGAGGCGCAAGTCCCAGCGTATTGGGACCAGTTAATTATGAATTATGGCCATTGTAAACTCACCATTTTAACACGGATTCTCCGCGTGACATCAGTAGATTAGGGTGGGGGTAGGAGCGAAATTGAGGGTCCTCGGGGCGATGTATTGCCCGAGAAATCACTCTTCGCTAGGATTCAGCTTACTAAAGTCGCTCTGCGCATTAAATCTATTCGCTCTTCGAGCTCATTGAGAATTTAAGTATTATCATTTTTGGTGTTGTGCCTGGAATTTCTGGTCATCTTCCGTCATCGCTGCCGTATCTGAGAGTCCAGACGAGGTTTTCCTGGAGTTTATCGTGGATCTACGGTAAGCGTAATTTCTTTTGTGATTGCTCGCGTGGTTTTATAACGTCCAGTCTCCGGTCGCCATTTTGGGCACCGTTTGAGTCTTGCTAATATGAGTCGTACTGTGAGACGCGGCACTCAGTGGCCTTTGGCGTGATTAAATTGTCCAACTTACTGAACATTAGGGGTTCATTTTTTTTTCATTATGATTTTTTTTTTGAATTTTATGATCCACGCATCCGTGCGTCATCCACGCCATTGAATTTTTTTTGGTTAATAATCACCAAGATTTATTTGAGATTAAATCGATTTCCGTTAGCTCTCTCGGCTAGTCGGAGTTTATGAATTTACAATTATCACTACCGTTTTCTATGATTATTATTTAAGTTTAAAATATTTTTTTTTAATTATATCGAGTCGGGTAATTTACCCTCTTTAATTTTTTTTTGTCAGAATACTTTAGAAATACCTCACACCAGGTTCTAGAAAATACCTCACAACTTTTTTGCGGTTTTAACAACGGCCGTCAGCGGTGTGGTCAACCCCGTGTTCATTTCGCGGACCAGAATGCAGGATTATCCAGGCCCGCAAATCCTACAATTTCTCAGGCAACTACGGTACCCTCAGTGCTTAACTCTCAAAGGACAAGGTCATGATGTTGGAGCGCGTTCCACGAGTAGCTCAGAAACCGCGGAGGCGTGTGGGAAACAAAAAAATGGTACACTTATCACCGTGTAAAAATAAATGTATTCTGACAAAAAAAATTAAAGAGGGTAAATTTCCCGACTGGATATAATTAAAAAAAAAACATTTTAAACTTGAATAATAATCATAGAAAACGGTAGTGATAATTGTAAATTCATAAACTCCGACTAGCGGAGAGAGCTAACGGAAATCGATTTAATTTCAAATAAATCTTGGTGATTATTAACCAAAAATAAATCAATGGCGTGGATGACGCACGGACACGAGGATCACCCGAACGCGACGAAGACACGAGAGCCACGTGAACAAAAAAATACAGTTCCAAAAAAAATCACCCTAAAAAAAAAGAACCCTGATGTTCAGTAAGTTAGACAATTTAATTGGACCAAAAGCCACTGAGTACCGCGTCTTACAGTACGACTCAAATTAGCAAGACTCCAACGGTGCCCAAAATGGCGACCGAAGACAAGACGTTATAAAACCACGTGAGCACTCACAAAAGAAATTACGTTCACCGTCGATCCGCGATAAACTCCAGGAAAACTTCGTCTGGACCCTCAGATACGGCAGCGATAACGGAAGATGATCAGAAATTCCAGGCACAACACCAAAAATCATAATACTTAAATTCTCAATGGGCTCGAATAGCGAATAGACTTAATTGCGCCGAGCGACTTTAGTAAGCTGAATCCCAGCGAAGAGTGATTTCTCGGGCAATTACATCGGCCCGAGGACCCTCAATTTCTCTCCTACCCCCACCCTCATCTACCGATATCGCGCGGAGAATCCGCATTAAAATGGTAAATTTACAATGGCCATAATTCATGATTTACTGGTCCCAGTACGCTGGGACTTGCGCCTCGCAATCGGTGAACTGCTCCGCATTCAACGGCGGAGGAGCCAACATAATCCGTCGCTTCCTCGATGTTGCAGCATGAGTTTTTTATTAGGTGTACAAATAAGTTTTAGGATACTGTGCAAAAAATTTAAAATTCATTTTCAAAAAAAAGTAAACTACATTTATTCATCAAAATAATCTCCATCATTTTGAATGACCTCTTCAGCCGTCTGTAGGTAATTCACGGATGCCTTCCGCAAAGAAAGTTTCATCTTGCGAGGCGCGGAAATTATCGACCCATTTTTGCACTTCTTCAAATGTCTTGAGTCGCACATCAGTCAATTCATTTTGCATCTTCCGAAACAAGTGAAAATCAGTTGGAGCTAAGTCTGGTGAATACGCCGGGTATGGCACAACTTCCCATCTAAGAGCCATTAACGTATGTTTGACGGGTTACCCATATGAGGCCTGGCGTTGTCATGGAGTAATTTTACTGGACGTTTTCTTTTGTCAGTAAATGGACGTTTTTGTTCAATTTCTTGGTTCAATCTTCTTACTTGTTGACGATAGCCATCGGCAGTAACTGTCTCGCCAGACTTTAAAAGTCCATAATGCAGTACGCCTTTCATATTCCACCATAAACACAGGATGATCTTCTTACAGTGAATATTGCGCTTCGGTGTCGATGATATAACCCAATGATATTTGTGTTTTGGATTATCAAAATAAATCCACTTTTCATCGCCAGTCACAATTTTCCACAAAAAAGACTTTCTATTTTGCTTATTGTAAAGATTCAGGCATATGTCAAGTCGGCCATCTTTATTTTCTTTAGTCAAAAAGTGTGGCACCCACTTTGTTCCTTTTCGAATCTTTCCCATTGCGTCTAAAAGATAGAAAACGGTCTGTTGAGTTACTCCAAGCTGTTTGGCAAGTTGTTATTCCGTCTGGCAAGAGTTTTCATCCAGCAACGCTTGCAATTCCTGGTCATCCACCCTTACAGGGGCCCCGGTACGTTCACGGTCACTAACGTCGAAATGGCCTTTTTTAAATCGCTTATACCAATACTCACATGTACTTTCATATACAATGTTGTCCCCAAGAACCGAACAAATCGATTGACATACTTTCCTAACAGTTTTTCCTTAATGGAATTCATAGCGAATGCAGTGTCTAATAAATAGCTTATCGGTCTGTATGTTTTATTCACAGAATTTAAGGTTATGTTTATGACTCCCTTATGTTTTGATACTACCTAATACACCCCACCATATCGTATGTAAGTGGTAACTTTGAATTACTTTCATGACACGGAATCGAAGTGTTCTAAAACTCATTTGTACACCTAATATGTGGTGGCCTTGCGCCACAGAACCACCGGTGAGGTGGTGGGGGTCCACATGTAGAGGCCTGAGTTGCGTGGTGGCGTACGACTACCGTCTCCCGCGTGCTTGCTGGTATGAGTATCCACAGACTCGGTGTGTACGTGCTCGTCGGTGTGCCAACTCGTCATCTGCCGTAGCGTCGACTTCGTAGCTCCTTCTCCGATGCTCCGCTTCACTCCCCTCATCGCAAAGCTCACGCGTAACCCGCGGTAAGCGCAATACGTCAGAATTGTCAGTAGAGAACAGAAAAGAGAGTGAATAAACGACAGAAATAAAAGAATATGTGGCCTTGGGTGATCCAACTCCTCGATGGGGTTGAATTACTAATTTTCCCCCCAATTAACCACGGTCAGATCAGGCGAGGAATAGTACACGATTTTTATCATGTTACAATGTATATAAGTATAGATTTTGTTTTTTATATTTTGTTGCTATAATCGCTATGTACTTCAAAATTTTTAACACGAAAAAAAATATTCTTGTTGAATGTTTTCCTAATGGAAATTGTAAAAAAACTTTTTCTCTTTCGTGTACCCTCTCGGATTTTTACGATTTTCCCCTTATCCTCCCCTTCAACCCCCTGTACCGCATTCGCCGAAGGACGAGGAAAAACCTGCTCAGGTACAGTCGTCTCTTTTTACGAGACTCCCGCTCGACAATAAAATTGTGAGATTGAGAGCGTCAGAAAGATGGGAAAAACAACCGGGAAGCGAACCCGAGTCTCCCGCGTGCCAATGCCGCACTCCAACCGCACAGCCACGGCCGTCGGTTTAGTGAAAATTATATTTTGTATTCATTATAGTATCGTGAAATATGGAAAGAGATAACTGATATACGTGTGATTGCAGTGACAATATTAAAATGTAGAATATTATGGAATGGACTGAACTTCGATAACCGTATTTGAGAATTTTATTTAGTCCTTATCATAATAATTCACTGTATTAAAGGTAAGGGGATTCGAGACACCAATCGAAAAAGGTAGGCGGGAGGGGGAAGCTCGATTTTTAGAAATAATGTTAAGGAACTCTTCTGTTACCAAGGAAATGCTGTGGACCCAAAGTTTTTCGATGAAAATTCTCTCAGTTTAGTTCCTTACTAGTTCACGCTATTTCCTATTTACGTTTCTCCACTTGACTACTTACTCAATTAATACTTGATAATTATGTTTCATTAATCGTCTCATTAAAATCACAGAGGAAGTGAAACCATCAAAAGAAACTGAACAACGGCCACCCCAGTGGAGTTCTCACAATGTGACAAGAAAAAATCAGGCAGCTGCTGAAAAAGTTACATCCCCAAAAAATAAAAGGATATTGAGGTGAGTAATATTCCTATTAGATTGCGCTTTTTCATTTCCACTTACGAACATTTTTGTACAACCAAAAATGATTCGAATATCCAATCGATGTTAAAAGTTTGCCCCAAAATGTATCTTCACTTTCCTGAATTAATGAGCTCCTGATCCATATCTCCATTCTCTCCCCTCCTTAGTAAAAGGAAGGAAAGTCAATTGTTTTTACGTTTGTTATCCTCCTCCATTCCCTGCTAACGCACGTTCAGCAGAGCCAAACTCCAGGAGCCCTGCAGCATTCGATGTTCGATGAGCATGGGTCTCATTCCAAGTCTCCAGTGTCGCATTTGTCTATGTTTATATCATCCAGAGTGTGTTGGTGGAAAAACTATATCAGCTAACGAGGAATACGTCTGCAAGGTATTATTGACGAACAAAAATTTACCAAATTTTGGTATGGAGGCTATAAAATGGTCTAATGGTTTCCTGTTAGAAAGGTCTTTTGAAATTGTTCATTTCCGTGATAATTAATAATAACCATGCTTTTTCGAGGAAGTATTAACATGGCCAGAAAATAGTTGGGTCAGAGTCCATCCACTTGAACATCTATTTGAACACGCACGTTTTATGCACCAGAAGGAATACCAGAGCGTTCAACTCTACATGCCGCAATATGCCTGGCAACGTTGTCTACATACAGTTGTGCACAAACTGCGCAAACTGACATCAGATTGTACCCTTACGTTAAGTCCGCACCAGTGTTACGCGACATTCTGTTGTCACCCTTTAGAAATTGTACATGAATCTAATCCAGCAGATTTTTTTTAACACATGGTAATTGATATGTTCAAGTGCAAAATTATGTCCTCCACATTAGGGAAATGCACGTGCACAATGTGTAGATTCAGCAACACACCGAAATTCTATTCTTTCATTCAATTCGAAACTTTCAGTATGTTTTTTAATTCACACATTGAAGAATTTGAAATACGCTATATGAAGATACAATTACTTATTCTATAAAGTTGAGAACATGATTACGCATAAGCGTGTCAATTACGGTGTTCAAAAATAAATGGAATTAGGTGCATGTGCAATTTCGAAAGATTCACATTAGTATATTGAAGTGACGACGAGGCCGACACGTATTCTTTGAGCAATGCGCATTTCTAACATGCAGAAATGGATGCAGACGACGTTACCGCGTACATTGCTGCTCTGTCCTCATGTGGAGATAACGCACGTGTTCAAATAGATGTGGACATTTGATTCTAAATAACTTTGAGATGATTCTCATTGTGTATTATTTTTTCCTGATTCATTTTATATTACCTCACAGAACTGTTTCATTCCGATAGGACATCGTCAACAGAGAAATAATGAGCAATGTTTTCGATGGAAATTCCTCACTCCAAACGAAAATCTGCCGATTTTCTCCGAACTTACTGATTCTCTGAATGAATTTCCTGGCGATGTTCTAATAACATGTCAAGTTAATCCGACTTTGGAAACTATTGTTAAGAATATGCCGAAATTTCGAAGAAATCAATATAGGGTCTAGTGGAATAAGTATGGTGAAAATGCCCCCAACGTACCTTGAATCGTTAATTTTTTCTGTTTCTATCATGAAAAAATATGCCTGCATGCAAATTTTTAGATTTTTGTTCGCATTTCTGCCAGTTTTATCACAAAAACCGTCTTTTTTTTTAATGTGATATTTTTTAGCAGTCAAAAAGTATCCTGAACAATCTGAAAAAATTCTGAAAAATCAGAAATATATCAGGATTCATGTGACATTTATTTATTTATTTGTTTTTACGACAATTTCTATTTTAAAAAATCATTCACTTTTCAAAAATTCATTTCAATATGATTAGATGAAGATACAACTTCGAAAAACATCATCACCATTTATTTAATGGTTTTCTATTGAATAACGCGATGAAAACTTTCATTTTTTGTAGGCGCCATACTAAAAGCACAAAAATTGATAAATTTTGCGGTTTTTTAGAACCAGAAATTCACTTATAAATCATTTGTTGGGACTCGTTAATAAATTATACTACTTTCAATAGTTCTTTTATATATTATACTAGTAGGGTGGCACATGCGCGACGTCGGGAGATACACACGTGTTTACATTTTGCTGAGTATCAATTTGCATTTTTCCCTACACCCTTTGGCTGCCTTTCTGCTCTCTCTCTGTGCTTGAACAGTTCAGTAAATTTTTCTCCTCAATTGGAGATAGTTATCATAGCAGTGTCAAGTGATTTTATTCGACAAAAACGAACAGTTTTCACACGACTCAATAGAGGTTAGGATGTCATGTCTACTACTCCTTTAAAACCCAAGCGAGTGACATCTCAAGGCAAACTTGAACCCGCAGGAGTGAACAACCCCGTTGGAAGACCGTCCGAGGCGGCTCTCAGATTTAGGGAAAGAGCAAGCTCGATTGGCACCATCACTGAACTCTTCAGAGGAGAAAAAAGATCACGAGAGCACCTGGACCCGGATAAGACCAACGTAATCAAGCCGGCAAAATTTCCTTGCCCTTCAATCTCCCGTTCTCTCTCAGGTGACAAACATAGATCAACCCCAAATAATGGTCATCCCTGATTCCGAGAGTATGTCCCCCGGTAAACAATTTCAGTGGTTAGCCAAACCGTTGATTGAGATAAAACAAGCTCAGGTGAGCCAGGAAATTAAGATAAACAATACTCTAACCGAAGAATTTTCGAAAATAAACCGGAAAGTTGATGGTGCCAAAGCAGACCTCAAAAAAGTTTCCACTGACATAGAGAAACTGAAGACTGAACAGAAACTCAATGCCAAGAGGATCAAGAAGTTGGAGGACACCATTGCTCTCCCACAAAACCAGGAATCTGCCAAGCTGCTAAAGAAGGCCCTTTGAAAGGATCGCCTCTCTAGAATCCTTGATCCAGAGGCAAGCTGACCCCACCCCAGATTCAACTCTACGTGCTGAGGTGAGTTGTCTTTCAGCTGTCCTTGAAACTCAAATCAAACACTCAAAGAAAAATAACATAGTAATCAGAGGCCTAGACAGCATCCCAGCTAGTGTCGAAGCTGTCAGCGAGTTTGTATCCTCCTCCCCTTGCTATCAGAGAGCACTCTGTAAACCCTCTCAGAAAGCAATAAAATACATACAAATATTATACTAATATATTCAATTAGTATTTCTTCATATATTCTATTTATGTCCATTTTTCTTGTCGCAAAAACAATTAAATCACCGACTTATTTAAGTTTTCCAAACAGAATCGAGAGAGAGAATTGTTTTTTTGGGGTTTCAATACCTCCACCCGACTTGACTGAAGGATTCGGAGGCTCTTCATATTACAAAAGTCCAAATCAACTTCTGGTAATGAAAATTCGATACTCAAAATTAACACTCGGTTAGTCGCATAAAAATTACGAACGCCATTTGTCGTGCTGTAAGCCCCGCGCTGCACCAGCATAAATCGACATAATGATAAATTTGAAAGATCTAGGAAAAATAGGAAAAACATTAAGAGTGATCTAGATCGCATAGTTAAAGAAGTCCCGTGAGATTTTTAATGTTCAGTGTTATCCTTAATTATATATTCAGCACAAAGTTGCCATGTTTTTCTGAAAATTCCCCTTATACACGGTACACGGCCCTGAGTTTCGAAATAAAAATTTGAAAATTCAACTACTTTTGATATTTTTGGCGGATATTTTCATTGATAGGGCTTCTAGACACTTCAAAATAAGATGTCAAATTTTTTAAAAATATTCTGAAGCTTTTCTGCAGTGCAATTTAAAAAATCGGAAAAAGTGCGGCGCGGCACTCATAGCGCGACCAACGGTTAAGAGTAAAATGTGAAGGGTCACGAGGGTCAAAATAAGGATTATAAGGGTAATAATAAGGGTCAGGAGCGTCAAAATAAGTCATGAGTGTCAGAACAAGGGACACGAGGATCAAAATAAGGGTCATGGGGGTTCGAATGAGGGTCTCAACGGTCCGGTTAAAAGTCAAAAGGTGAGATTAAGGGTCAGTAGCATCACACTGGGAAAAAAAAATGCTTTTGCCAAGTATATTTACTTGCCACAAGTAAATATATATAAATATCTGCACAAGACATGTGTAAGTTTTCTTGTAGTTAGTAAATATACTTAGCAAAACTAATTTTTTTTCTCAGTGCAAGAGTCAAAATACGGGTCACGCCGGTCAAATTATGGTGCGAGGGTCAGAATAAGGGTCACGAGGGTCATAATGAGGGTGAGAATAACGATCACGAAGGTCAGATTAAGCGTCACAAGGGTCAGAATAAGGTTTCAAATAAGGATCGTGGGTGTCAGAAATGAAGGTATATTATTAAAATCCAAATCGACTTCTGGTGATGAAAATTTGATACTCGACATTAAGACTCCAAAATTAAGGGTTAGAAACTAAGTGTCATAAAGGTTACGAGGAATATAATGAGGGTCGGAATAAGGTGGCGTATGTAAGTCATATGGGGGTTGATGAGCGAAGCGACCAGGGAGCGTAGTCCCATAGTATACAATAAAAGTACATCAACTGACATATGGGTGTTTCTTCGGAAATGGTGATTTTTGAGATCTTAAATTTTTCGCTATGGCAATGTGCCTACCGAGCCAAGTGAGACACATTTTTGGGGTACTTTTGGGTACCTGAGGGTATTCGAGAAGTGGTTGCGCTACAAATTCGAAATATCAAAAACTACGGGGTCAAAAATCGTTTTCTTCTCATTTTTGAATGGAATTAGATATTAATTCAATTTATTAATTTCTTTTATGTACAAAACATTTAAACTTCAAAATTAATTTGTAACAAAGAAGTAACAAATAGCCGCTTCAATCACTGAGTCAAATCACGGCACCGTCACGATTTTCGAAGCCTGAAAAGTACAAAAACGATTTCAATATACTGAATGAAACGAAAATTATGTCAATCACCGCGCACCTCAAACTTCTCCTAGGGGGTTTATTCTGGAGCATATTAGACGATGGGTACTCAGTCCCCGAGATCTCCAGCTTCCTTTTCCGTGGTCTATAACTCTTTTCTCGAGCTTTCTTCTTCTCGTTCTTCAATGGTCCACCATTGAAAGCCCTAGTTTTAGAGATTGACGATTTTCTGTTCTCCTCACTTCTTGTGATTGACGTCTTGCGATGTTTAGATGGAGTAATATCATAATTTATAGATCCGAGGTTGAAATGAAGGCAGGTCTTTCCCGGACAACACTGAAAGCAACTCAACGAGTTGAAAGAAATGAAGAGCGGGTTATCCTTCGCCCAGGTGTATTGATGAACTTTCATAGTTCCTATGAAAGGCTTCACGTCTGTTGGTAGTACAGCATCAATAGCATGAATCTCGTTGATTGAAACTGTATCGATGTGCACTGCTTGGACTGGAGTCC